GGGGGGTCTGGGGGAGCAGGGGGGAAGGGCAGCCATGGAGGGGCTGCAGGAGCCAGTGGGGGATGGAGTCAGGAGGCAGCAATCCAGGGGGAGCAAGCTGGGGTGGGGCATGTGGGCCCTGCAGCAGGGAGTAGCCCCTGCAGGGGGCCATTTGGCCCCTGTTGGGGGGACTGTGGCCCCTATGGAGGAGCTGTAACCCCTGTTGGGGTGGCTGTGGCCCCTGTGGGGGGCAGCAAAATATATAGGTATTTAGAATTCACTTTATTATGATGACAGAGACACTGGTGGGTTCCAAATTGTTTTAACACTGTAGATATATCAATGAAGCATTGCCCAACTGATTGCTGTCTCTCACTCACTCTCTCTCTCTAGTAGTCTTTTGTTTTAATTGTGGAGGAACATGGATTTTGCAGTACTTTACAGAGTGACTTTGGGATTTTTTTTATCAGGGATTTTTCATTTTCAAATAGGGAACACCAGAATTCCTGAGAGTGAGTAGCCCTGAGCTACTTGCCAGGGCAGCTTTTTGTACTGATGCGGACAGCACAGGTGCTGGCTCTAGTTCCCCCTGGCTGCAGATCCAGGAGGAGCCAGGGAGGGCTATTTTGCCCCAAGTGGCACAATTTGCCCCACACCAAAGTGTGTGTCCGGGCACGTGCCCTGAGGCAAAAAGCCCCGACTCACATTTACACTGCTTCTATTTGAGCAGCTGCACGCGCATGTGCCTGCAAGTTGGACATGCCCTATGATTTCTGTTTTCAGTTCTACCTTCCTCTGTATGCATAATGCCTTCACTGCCCTCTCTGACACACAGCCTTACTTAACCCTTTCAACTTTGCTCAAAATTCTCTTCTCTGCTCTGATTGACATGTGCCTCAACACCCTACTGATTCGTGTCCACATTAAGCCTCTTTTTAATGTCCTTTTATCAGCTCTTCCTGCTCACTTATCCCAGAGGTGAGATGTTTAAATAATAACTGGAATAAATTGCCAGAATCTTTCCTTCCGCTTTCCTTTCCCTTGTTCTATCTGCTTCTCCTTCACTACTTCTAAATACTGATTTACCTAAAATCGTTTCTCTTTAAGTATCAAACACTTATTCTGGTCAAGTAGTTTTTGCTTAATATTAGCTATGATTTTTTTTAAAAGCCCACTCAGAACTGCATTATAGATGAATTTCCCTTTTCTTTTCCCACCAATTCAATGGCATTATATCCTGGACTGCAAAGGAAATTAGGGGGCATCATATTTAAAATCTACATTTCTCAAGCAGTAATACAGTCCTATAGTATTAATCCCAAAACATGTGGCACAAAATAGTCCTGTTGCTGTGCATTTAGATCTCTGCATTTGTTTCAACAATAGGTATTTTACAGCTACCATTGCTTAGTCTGCATTTTAGTATCAACTGAATTAAGTACAGGATTCCTTGCTGGTGAGAAATAAATGCATGGCCACAGCATTGCTTAGTGTAGAACATCTTGGCAAAGAATATAAAAGAAAAGATATGTGCATTTCAAAGAGAAGCTTGTGAAAGGTTATTAAAATCTTTTTTTCCCTAAGTCTTAAAGAAAAGCCTTTGAAGTACGTGCATGAATTGTTGAGAGAACAAGAATTCTTCCCAAACATGCAAGATAGGAGTCTGTATAAAAAACAAGGAACAAAATTTTGGCTGGCTCACAAAAGTATATACATTGTCCCTCTTTGACAAAATAGACATTGGACAAGGGAAAACGAAAAGAAGGAGGCTCTAATATTCTTTTTCAACTTCTGGAAAAAATATTTTCATTTTTTTTCCATGATAGATTTTTGAATGGCTTGCATTAATCCCTTAGTGGTGGGAAACTCAGGTGCATGAATGACACACATTTTGTATGGCCATTGTAAGGGACTGTCAGAGTGTTAAAAAGATTTTCTTAAGTGTTCATCTTTGCTACAACATTTCTAAATATTCTGTTAGGAAACATGAGAAAGCTGGGTGATGAGTTCTCAGGAGTGTTTCATAGCAATCTGTGTTACAAATGTATTTTTTCTAACAGGGAATGCTTTCAACTGTATAGACTGGACAGCACTCTGAGAACACCAAACTGAAGTTTCAATAGTAAAATGACAGTAGAAAAACTTTTTGCATTCATTCCTATCCTTGGATCTACCAATAATGCTGCAATTCCTGACTTTTACACAAATTACAGCCTTTCCATTGAAGAGATTTTAGTTTTGATGGACACAAAGCACATTAAAAACTGTTCAGGCTTAAAGTTTAAAGAGTGTATACATACCTACAATGAACCACAATTGGTCCACCATGTGAAGGATTCAGTGTTTTGACTTTTTTTAGAAACTTCAGCATCCCTATGGGTGTGAAAGGCACTCCGAAATCAGGCCAGCTGGTAAAGTGAAGCTGTGTTACAAGCCTTGGAGCTTTACAGCCATCATGAAGCTGCTAGGAGCACAAAGACAATGAGTGTGACATTTTATTGTCTTATATAAAGATTCATAAACAAACTTATTTAATGCTTGTAGATTCTAGGATCTCAGGTCATAGAGTAAAGACAGTGTTATGCTATGTTATATAAGCCAATAATTATATAATTGCAATAGGTACTGTACATGAAGAATCAGATTTAAAACAGCAGGTCAAAACCTAAAGTCCTTTTTCACTTCATACAAAACTCTTATGAGAGCCTGTAGGAATTCAGGATTTGGACCACTAAGAAAAGTAAGTTGCCTAATTCCTAATGAACTGCATCACCAAAAATATATACAAACATGTTCAGGACATGGACATGTTCAGATGAGGAATACTAGACTGCACGAAGCACTGGGCAACTCCAATATGTCGTAGCTTATCATCCCATCTTGTAAGTTTTCTTTTTATTTTTAATTTATGGTTTTAGTGCTAATTATTAAGGTGCAGGCTGATATAGCCTCAAGTACCCTGTTGAAAAAAAGAAAAATAGGCACAGTCAACTCTAACTCTACCCCAGTCCTCCCTAGCACCCTTGGCTCAGGGCAGGGCTGTTTCAGGTCTGTGCCCATTTGGTGCCCTAGGATTGCCCCTTGTAGACTTTCTCTCTGCATCTCTGTCCAGGTGTTATGGGACTGGGCTCTATGAAATCACCCCTCTGGACACTCTTGGTATCCCCCCAGAAGCTATGGGACCTCCACCACCCCTACGGTTCCTCCCAAACCATCAGTCTTACAATTTACAGCCTAATACAACATAAACATTGAATCCTCATACAAGCAAAGTATTAATATACACAGAACATAAGCCCATTGGCAAGCATTCATTAAATTCCAGTGCCTCTACCTGGAATTCTTCCCTCTGCCCACCTGCAGGGGTTCTCATCAGGGTCTGTGGCTTTCTCCAGGGTCGTGTTCAACTGCTGCTCTGATGGCCCGAAGACCCTCCCAACATCCTCAGTAGTCCCTGGCTACCCATTCCTGGTAACCAGCCCACGTGGGCCAGGTTTTCCCCCATCTGGGGATCCCTCCTTCTACGTATTCCCAGGACAACCTCCCACCTGTACCCAGTGCAACAGACACATTTTTCCTAGCACTCTCTAGGTTACTCCTCCATCTGGCCTCCCCACTTCCATGGAGGATCCCTGAGGGCTTTCTTTTGGGCCCATATTCCACCCTGTAGTTCTACCAAATCCAGGGAGGCCACGTCACCATCAGTCAATCTTTCTACGGAGCAGCCTCTCAATCCATCTTTACCCAGACGGGCCTGCCCCACACTGTTTGCCCACCAAACCTAGCCACGACGTGAGTGGCATACCTGGGGTGTTCAGTCACTGTCTCTGCTCTTCCCACTGTTGTACTACTAGATGACTATGTATTGCATTAGCCCCGCCACCTGGAATATCTATCTGAGCTTCCTCCAACCTACTCCAAAGCAGAGGTTCTTTACAAACACTTACAGGCTCAAGGCTGTCCATCTCCTTTCCTATAGTAGGTGTTCTTGCCATCTTTTCATCTAGCCCCTTCTTGAACAGCTCTGGGGACTCAGCATCCTCACTGCTGGGTCACTGTTGCCAGATAAGATGCAGTCTGTAGGAGCCGGTGTTGGCTGCACTGGTTCTGATCCTAACCTGCTGGACCTTTCCCTCACCTGAAGATATTTCAATGCTCAGGCAAGCCCAGCAAGATCTCCTCCCTGGCTTTGGGCTGCTCCTTCCCTTCCTGGGATCTGTCCCTGGGTCCCAGTCCTTAACCCATGTTGCTTCTGGCCTTACTCTCTCAGGCAAGCTCAGAATCTCCTTTGGCTGCTGGAGAGCTGGGGCCTGTCTCTATTCAGCCCCTTCCAATTCCATCTTAAGCTGCTAGGCCTGACTTTGTGGCTGCCATCTCTCTTTGGTCCCCTCCTTTGCTCTTGGCTGGCCACCAGATCTGCCAGCCCGTAATGATAGTGGCATCCATCTGAGTGGCAAAGGCTCTTGGGCAAGAGCTTGGGTGCTAGCAAGCTCCTTTTGATTGTACCCATGACAAGAGCTGCTCAGTCTCTATATTTCACTTGCCAGACCCCAATCTCCTGCTGCAGTTCCGGCTGACGCGTCCTCTCTGCATTCTACTGGCTCTCCAGGCCGACTATAGCGGTCTTCTCCTTCTGCACTGCCATTGCAGAGGTGTGGCTGGTGTCTCTAGCTCTCTCCAAGGTGCAAACCTTTGCCAGCCAGCCTGTTACAACCACTAACTGCCTAAATAGTCAAACTGGCAATCAGCAGTGAAAAGCAGAAAAATCACACAACAGTTCTCAGGAAGAAACTAGTAAAAGTGCTTGGCCTATTAAGCATTTGAGAGTAAAACTGATGACTGTAGACTTGGGCCATGTGTAGACAAAACAAGAGGCATGTGTGCACGGCACTTTAAAGTGGGCTAAATGCTTTTGTATTGCTTTAAGGGTGTCGGTGTTTGCAGGCCTCAGTGACATATTGCGCATTAATTCCAGCCGCTGTAGGAAATTCGGCAGTGTAATGCACCTTAAATGACTTGAGGCACAGCAACCTAAAACTCCTTCAAGGGGCTGTGAACTGAAGCACTGGGCTCCGTACAGCTCCACAGCTTTGCAGGAGCCCTGCAGGCAGCCTGACAGCAGCCCAGGAAAGCAGCTCTGCCTAAGAAAAGTGGTAAGCCTTTTTCCCACCCTGGAGCCTGCCTGCCTGCCTGAGCTGAGCGGGAGCCCGGTGATTCCCTCTGCAGCTGCGGTGCCCCCAGGACCACCTGAGCTGGGCACCTGCAGGCCAGTGAAACCTGGGGTGGGCACGCAGCTGCTGTGAGATAAGCACCAACCTCCCTGTAGCCCAGGGACTGCTCCACTTGCCGGCAGCTTGCCTTCCCCTCCCCACTGGAGAGGCAGGTAATTCAGCAAGGTGTGCGCATGACGCACAAATTAATCAGCCCTAAACTGAACCGGTGTTTTTTTAAAATCCACCACCTTCAATTTAGGACCCCCATTTTGTCTACACATGCTCTTGGTGGAAAGAAGCTGCCCTTTGCTCTGTTCTGTTTGGGTCATTGACTAAAGGGATATGCCTTTTTCTACAGATTAATTTCAAGATTTATTTTTTTTTTTGAAACCTAATTTCAGGGGATTCCTGAAATGTAACCTCAATGCACTCCTGCCTTGCCACAAAGGCGATGGCTAATGATCAGTTATGTTTAGTCTTAATACAGCTTGATCACTTAAAATTACATAATTTGGTGTTTTATAAATATATAAATAGTCTACTCTACTTGGTTAATTTTGTATTTACCAAGAAACAAAAAATCCCAGGGAGACGGAGAATATCATAGGTAGAGGGAGACATGAAAAAGATCAGAGGTAACATGGCAATTCAAGAAGGCACAATGTTGCTGTAATCCTAAGGCCCAGTTAAAACATGACAGGTACACAGATTTATCTAGATCAGTTCTTGGTACAATCTGGGCATGTGCTAATGCTATAAAGGTATACTGTGCAGTAAGCCTTCCCTGGGATGTTGTCCACACATGTTCCCTGTTGGGAGAAAATCAGCAGTACACAGCTGCTCCTACCCTGCTCTGCAACAGCCAGGCTCCAGGCTCTCTTGGGCTCCAGGTTCAGCCCAGGGGGCCTGGCAGGGAATACAGGGGCCATTCCCAATGTGCATGGGACCAGGAGAGCTCTGCCAGCTGCAGCAGCAGCTGTCTCCTGGCCCTGTGAACATCAAGAGGGGTCCCGATGTGCTGAGAGACAGCTGAGAGACAGCTCCTGTTACAGAGCTCTCCCAGTGCCATGCATATGGGGACAGGTCCTGTGCCCAGCGGGGCTTCCCCACACAAAAATGGGACAGCTCCTGGCCAGCACTGGCTGCTTGGGGATTTCCCTGGCCAGCCCCTGGCTGTGAAGGGAAGCAGAGAGCTTCTCAGTCCCAGCACTGCTTGGTTCCCAGCTCCTGTGGGGCTCTGTGAGCTGAGAAGCACTGGACCAGGGTCGGGTGGGAGGCCAGAGAGCTACTCCATGCTGGCATTTCTTGACTCTTGGCTCCTGAGAGAATACTGAGAAAATAGAGCAGTGCCAGGACCGGGGCAGTTTCCTGTCCCCAGTGGCCTCCTGATATTGGGGCTGACCGGGAACAAATTTGCACCCAGTCAGCATTTACACATGCACTATTGTGCAGTATCTATTGCACAGTTACTTAACTACCTGTATTTACAGGTAGTAGCTAATGGCACAGTAGACTAATTTACTGCATAGTAAATAATGTGCACACATAGATGGTGACACTTTACTGCTCAGTAGAATAGTCTACAGTAGACATGTCCTCCTTCATATAAAACCTCTAAAAATTTTTTAAATTGTGTCTGTATCACAACTAGTTGGCTACTCACATGAATACAATGGACTAATACCTTTTAAAGCTCATTAAATATTGTACAGTCATCTAATGTATACATATACATATATAGTCATCTACACCCAAATACTACACATGCACACAAGTCTATTTCAATCCAGCACCTTGCTTATATATATGCTTAATTATATTTTAGTTAAAACTGCATTTCCATGCAAATTTCTTTTGAACAAAAACTTGAATTTCTGTTATAATCTGCTTTAAAAACCAAGGTAAGGAGTTACTTACTGACTGAATACAAAACTTGCGAATGGTGTAGTCCACAAGAACTATGCAATCTTCTACTGAAACTCTGATATTTCCATAAGTCCAGCATCCTTGATCAGGCCAGTATTGATAACATTTATCCTATTGAAAGATGTGGCATTTACATTCAGTACTTTTACAGTAAGTGTATCAAATCCTATTACTACTAGCATACAGAGCTGTACAATGTACATTTAGGATATGTTTGATTTTTTTAACCTAAAATTTGAAATGATTTTACAACCTTTTGCAATCTCAGAATGGTTAGGGTGTGAGCTAGTTATCTGCATTTCCATATTATTATATAAAGTTATTACATGGTTATGATGAAGAGTGCTCAGAAGTTTCTTTAGCAGCCAGACAGCGAATCCCAACACTGCTTGTGTTCTTACTTTGCTGCTGTCAGGTAGCTCCCAACAGTCATAAGCACCAAGGGATCCCAACAGCAGGAAAAAAAAAATTGTGAACCAAAGGAACAGGGAGTCTAGTGACATCACGAGGAAAAACTTTTCATGAGCAAATATGGAGTTCCTACAATCTTAAGTATCTTTTTAATTTTAAAATGAAAATGACAGTCTTGAGTAGGAAGTATATTGTTCTCAGGAGCTCAGCATGTTATCTCACTGCATCTCCAATTAGCATTAACCCAAAAAACAAGGTAGAATAATGAACTGAGAATGAACTAAGAATGAACAAGGTAGAATAATGAACCTCTTTATCAAGGTTTTTATTTAATTCACCTATTCACCCTGGTTAGTTAGAACTTAAACATATGCTCATCTTGACCAGTGATTCAACAGGATTCTTGTAAATTTTACTGTTCAGCCTTTACACATGGAAGGATAAATAAAACATAGGATTAAGAGAAGAACGGGGCTACAATACAAACAGAGGAGGAATGCTAGGACAAGAAGGCACAGAGTTAAGGCATGCAATAGAGAAGCCAGAGGTAGTTAGCATATTAGTCTGAAGTCAGGGGCTAGGAACAAACATTACACATACACCAGTTTAAGTGATCACAAAATGGTTTAAACCTGTAACAGAACAGATATTCAGTGCATATAAACCACTTTCAAAATGGATGAAACTGGTTTGAGGTAAACCTGGTTGAATGTAGTATCAGACCTAACTGATAGAGCTCAAACTGGTTTATGCAATGTCTGTCCCAGACCCCTTCCTGGTTTAAGTTAAACCAGAGTCCTCCAGCATCCCAGCATGCTCTCTGGGCTGGGCTGTGCTCTCTGCTCCCAAGCAGGGCTGGCCTCATCCCTCTGCTCTGTAGCCTGAGCACAGACAGGACATAGTGAGACACTGGCCAGCATGGCCCCACAAAAGCAAAGTGGACAGAGAGGGGGTTTAGTTCTTCCCTCCTTCCCCTCCTCCCTCACTGCAGCTGTGGTCTGCCTCTCTGCTGGGGGGAAAAGGGGAGGGGGCAGTGGTGGTGGCCCTTGGGGCTGGCAGACCCTGGCTGCAAAGCAGAAGGGACAGAGGGAGGAATTAAACCTTCTCTCTGCCCCCTTTGCCTTAATGGGCCCATGCCAGGGAGGGGCACTCTGTTTTGTGCAGTGAGGGACTCTTCTGCCATTTCCCCCTCTTCCTCCCCCCAGGGTGGGGGGGCAGGCTCTGTACAGTGCTGGAGGGGGATGCCTCCTCCCCCCCCTTGCCACCACAGGGTGGGTAGGGGGACTCTATGCAAGGTTGCTTGGCCCTGGACTCTTCCCTCTGCTTTTCTCCTGCTGCCATGGAGTGGGGAGGGAGCCTTTATGTGAGGCTGTCTGGCCCTAGAGGGGAACTTTCCCCCACAACCCCTCCCCACTCTGAAGCAGCGGGGAGTGGGGGGGGGGAGGAGGGGGAAGAGTATCCCCCAGCACAGAACAGAGCCCCACTCCCCACCTGCTTTGCCACCTCACCCTGTGGTGGGAAGGAGCAGGGGGCAGAGTCCTCCTCCAGGGCTCAGCAGCCTTGCAGAGCCCCCCTCCACACCCCACAGCAGCAGGTAAGGAGGAGAAGGAAAGGGAAGAACCCCTCCCAGCACCAAACAGAGCCCTCCTCCCCACTCTGCCACAGTAGGAGAGAGGGAGGAGGTGGAAGAGTTCCCTTTGGGGCCAGGCAGCACTATGCACCAGGATTGCTCCCAGCTGTCAGGGAGCTGCTCAGGCAGGCAGAAGTCTCCCCCCCCACCCTCCTCCTCCTCCCCCACCACAGTGGTCTGGCCCTGCTCCCTCTTCCCCTACCCTTGGGGTTGGGGTTTAAACCCCTCCTCAGTCTTAATCAGGCCTGCTGGGGCCTGGCCACGCCCCCACTGTCCCCACCCCCACCCCTGTGAGCTCAGCTTCCCTGTGGAAGGGAAGGGAAGGCTGCTCTAGCACCCTGGGCTTCTGGCCTGAGCCACTGCAGGCATGTGCCTGCATTTCAGGAATGAAGAGGGAACATCTATCCATTTGTAAACTGGTTCAGTCTTTGCAGGTTAGAAGATTGAATCAATTCAGGCTCAGATTTTTGAATGTCTGTGCCTAGTCAGGCTGCAGCCTCAGAAAATTTAAGCCTCTCTTTCTTAAGATGCCACCCTTCTGCCAATATAATAGCAGTATTTTTCTAGAAATTCAGCATATCATAAACACATGTGATCATTATATTATGAGTGATTTTATACACACCTTGTATTTTTTATGTTATAATCATTACAGTTGAAGGTTGCTAACTAAAAAACCACTGCTACTTTAGTGCAAACCATAACAGACTGTGACTTCCTGTCTTTGCATTCCTGTTTCCATTCTGTACAGTTTCTCCACTCCATATATAACACACACACACACACACACACACACACACACATAACAGTGACACATACCTAGAGGGGGAATAGCAACAGATCAGATGGTGTATGCACATATTTTAATTTAACACAACTAGTATTGCCAGCTCTTGTTTTTACAGTACATTTCAGTTTCTGGTGTTTTTTTAAAACCCCCACTGCTGCATGTCCTGTTACACCATTATGTCATAATCTCAGCATTTATTTTTAAAAAACAAGTTTACAACTTTCATGGCTGCAGAAGAAACATAACTGTAATGAAGCCAAAAGTGTAAAAACCAAAGGCAAGTAAAATGAGTTCAAAATTACTTTTTAAACTAAATCTTATTATTTTTAAGCCAAATTCATTATTGGGAGACAGAATAGCTCAGATTTCTTAAATGCCCATAGGTTGCCAATCCTGTTTCTAACACAAGAAAACAGGAATTTTACATTCATTTCAACTCCTATTCAGGTCAAAAGGACCAGTCTCACATTTTCTTCAGTGTAAACAAATAGGTGTTCAGAACAATTTGCAATTTGGTCAAAGTACCAAAAAATGAGGCTGTGTAGGACATGGTAAAAATTAATGATCAAAAAGCTAGTCCCCAGAGACCATTTATATATGTTCTTGTACAATCTTAAGTTGCAACTATACTTGTATGGCACCTAAAGGAGGCCATTTTGTGCTGGAAGCTTGTCTAGCATCTTTCTCCACCATGGAAGAATACAGAAGGGTTACAGGAGCATGATCACATCTCCCTTTCAGACTACACTGCAGGAGCAGCAGCCAAGGACTTTGAGTCCTCCAAGCAGGTAAGAATCCCCCTCTCCCTTCCCCTCCATGCTCAGAAGCACATCCTGTCCTCTTCCCTTCCTCTCCTTTCCCTTGCCTCCTGCTGCTGCCACTGTTCCCGCTGACCAGGGGGCAGGGGGAGGTTCCTCCTGCCCACTTCAGCCAAGTTGGGCAGGGCTTGGGCTCAGCCTGAGACAGTGGTAGTAGTGGCTGGGTTCCCCTAGATGCCTGGTCCCCCTAGGTGTTCCCTGTAAGCCCAGGAGCAGGCATGGGGTGGGGGAACCTGCCCACTGCTTCCTCTGTCCCAGGGTGAGCCTGACCTCTGTGCAGCCCAGATGAAGCTGGCCAGAAGTGGCTCTGGAGCTTCCCTCACCTTCAGGACAATGAAGACAGCAGCAGCAGCTAGCAGGGAAGGGGTAGAGAGAGGGGATGTGCCTCTGAAGTGGGAGAGAAAGAGGGTACCTGACTTTAAAAAGTCCCCAGCTGTTGCTCCTGTGGTGTGGTCTGCCAGCCCTGGGAGAAGAGGAAGGGAAGGCTGGGAATTGGGAGCATTAGCCAACCCTACAGTGGTGGTCACTGCTCTCACACCTGCCTGAGTAAAACCCTGAATCTGCTTCTGCTCTCAGCTATACAGTTGGTCCAATAGGAAATATCACCAAAACCCCCTTGCTTTTTATATATTTCCTGGACCATCAGAGCTATAATACTCCAACCCTACTTGTTTAAAATAGCTCTGAGAAGAGTAAGAAAGGAAGTGGTTACAGTCACTGTTAGCCAAACCCTTAAGCAGCACGTTGCAGTAGCATAAATTTGGGACTTATTTCAAAATAGACTGATCAAAGTTGAAATAATATATATAGAATATTATTCACCTCTTTTCTCTCTTTCAAGTTTGTTAACATAACGATAGTTGCCGACTTCTGTTCCCATATCATCCTCCAGAAGTCATTAACTGTTTCTTGTTTAGGGCCTGCACATAAAAGACAGTGTTATATTGAACAGATACAAAGATGACAACACTATCACAATATACAAAAACATTTTTCCTTGCAAACTGAGTCACCAGTTCATATCTCATGGAACTATGCTGGCTGCAATCGCCTCAGTTTTCATGTTAACCATATGCTCATTCAAAACTCTTACTTTCCAAGCACACTGTCAAAAATTACTGAAAACATTTACTACGTTATCTCATAAGTGTAATAAATATGCACATGCTGAAACAACTGGAATTTCTATACTTATATTGGGCCCTGTAATCAGTCCTTGTATAAGGAATGACAGAGAATGACCAGTCAAGACAGTTCTTAAATGTACTTGGTCAGAAGCAGTTTGAGTCTGTCAAGTTTCTAGATGGACTAAATAGAATATATGCACTCAGCCCATTTCTGGATAGTTGGTCCATAGTTCTTGGTGACATAAAAGTTTGATGATCAGGATCATCTCTTCTTCTAAGATCAACAGATAGTCACTCCCTCCTCCCCATTCTTCCAATAGGAGCACTCTGCTCTCAGTTAGGTCAAGCACTGAGCACAATTTAGTATTTCTAAATTGCAGCTCTCTTTCTATGTCCAGAATTTAGGAAAACTATAACATTTATGATTCAACAGGGGAACACAGATGAGCATGGAGGAACAGGAGAAAGATTCTGCTTGGAGTACAGAGACAGGGAATCTGCAGTGGGGAATGTCCTGAGCTGAGAAATAATAGTGGAACTAGAGCTGCCAGACAGAATTTAAATGAAATTCCGACTAAAGGCTCCAAATACGGTTTTAGATCTGGCCATCATGCATATTTGAAACAGTTCAAGAAATGTAATAAATTAAAATAAATTAAAATGAAAATTATTTACAAAACCAAACAAATAATTTACCTTGAGCTGCTATAAACTTATTCTTTTCTTTGTAACCCTAGGGAAATAGATGCAAAGATTTCCTTTAAGATAAGTGTCTATCTGATGTTTAGTTTACATTTACAATGCACAATCTGACAAAAAGTAAAAAGCTGTTAACTCACATCTATATATGAAGCATTGATATAGTCTGATGCTGCAACACTATCCATTTGGGTCAATATCACTCTGGAATGATCATCTGGAAAGAGACAGTGTTATTAACGTTTGTAGTTCTGATAGATTTCTAGTCAGTCAATCTGGAATTTACTACCTCCCGCAAAAAAAACCCAAACCCTGTAACATGCATGTCAATCATATACTTGTAGTTCCATTCACAATATTATCTTTGATATTAAATGTAGTAAAAGATCAATTAATCCAAAGGTGTTCACAATAACTATTCCATATCTGCTCATGGAAGATTTTGGTTTCTTATTGTCTTGCTCAGTCTGACCCAAGATTGTGACTGTGAGAACATGCTGAAAGACTTATGTGTTTCACAGGCACTTAGGAACTATGAACAGCCACTTAGATCTCTAGGTAAATGGACTGGGAATCATTCAAGTTCTCTTTGAATTGTGTAGTAATTATACAGGGCCAGTTGTGAAGCAATTGCACAGTGCTCACCATTTTGGGATGCATGATATATAAGCTTCTGCTATAAAAATTCCCTTCACTTTTAATCCATATAGGGATTGCATGCCATCCAAACTTTTGCAATGGAATAGATAGTTTAGATACCTTGAAACTTGCTCATATACTCAAAGCTTCTTGTTTTTTCAATAGAGCAAAACTGACTTGAGTTTCAAGAGAATCAGCTGACACTTCTCTGAGTTCTAAAGGTGCATGTCAAGCTCTCTCAAATCCATTACAGCAAGGTTATCAGTCATCAGGTGTTATTGTTCACCAAATTCATCATTAATCAAATTCACGGACCAGATAAGGGACGTGGGGCAGGTCTGAGGGCCAGACTGGGCTGACAGGTCTGTCCAGTGCCTTGGATCCAGTCTGCAGGGTCAGTCTGGTATGGATGCCACATGCAACAGGAGCCCTGGACAACCCCATTCAGGATGTACCCCCAAACTGCTCTACATGTAGTATGCACCAGCTCCAGCCTCACACGCAGAATGCATTGGATTGGCTACACACAGTGCACGTGCCAACTCCAGACCTGTGTGCTGCTTGAAGCATATTCTGGACTACTGGCCATGCACACTATATCCAGTGTAGATGCCAGTTCCAGTACCACATGCATCATGTATCAGACCAGTTTTGTGCTTTGTGTGCAGCACACTGGTGGTTGGGAGTGACATATGCTGTATGTAGCATTCAGGGCCAGTCTGGGGTATGTCCCATGCAGTGTACAGATCTAGTCCAAGGCCCACAGGTCACGCCATGGGCCAGATGTTAGGGTTCTGTGGGCTGGATCCTATCTTTAACACCCCTGCATTAAAGAAAAGTGTTTTGGAGGACAACCCTTACTGAAGAGATGTTCCAAAAAGAAGCTTACTTTTGCTGAGGTATGAATTGTACCTTATAAATAACATTTTTTGGTACATTAATCTAAATCATCAAAGCACATTCAGTAAATGCAAGCAACATTACTGGCATGCTTGGTGCCAGAGGCATCCATATACTGAACTAATAATTTGAAAATAAATTGTGAAGTCTTACAAGGAAGGATGTTGGGGTATCTATTTTTCTCTCTATTTTCTTCTTTGTTCGCCATTTCAAATGTTCCTTGCACATAGCTTGCTGTTAATGACTATGAAGAAAACATATAAAGGTCAATGCAATGCAACAACATTCTATACTAACTGTTAGCTGTATAATATTCAATGACCAGGAAATAGAACTAATTTCTTGGCATTTTCCAGTTCTTTAAAAAAAGGAATTTCTTCTCATTAAAACAGCTTATAACCTTTTGATTACATTTTACTACAATTTCAATATTTAAATACTAGCTTAAAGAAAATGTGACTTTTGCTATTTAAGAGTTCAAATCTACTTTAAAAAAAGGTTGCCATTGCAAAACACCAAATGGCAAAGTGACTCATTATGCTGTGACCAAGTCATGAGGATATAGATGCAAAAGCTATATGGCTCTGACTTTGTATTGTGCTTTTAAGATTTATTTGGTTTTAGTATGAAAACACACTTGGTTAATAACAAAAGAAGGTCAAGAATATTAAGAAAATCCCTGGCCAAAGTCCATAGTCTGGCATGGGTCTCTTCAGATCAAAGTTAGGGGTAGAGTAAGGGGATGCCAGCTAACTCTATGCTGTGATCTCAAAGCTGGCCATGGGGACTATGTGTTAAAATGACTGAAAAGGTACCCAGGATTAATCAACATCCCACCTAAACCTGGCAGTGTGAATAGATTCTTAATCATGCACTAAGCACCTTTCAAAAATAGTGCTTTACTGCAATATAATCAGAATTAAAATGTGAAAGAGAAAAATATTACTATGGCAAGAAAAATATAAATATAAAAATATAAAACCAAAGAGAAATGAGAACTTCATGACTATGGAGAATGAGATGAAGGATCTGTGAAGGACTCTTAAAGCTCATCCCTAGCCTAGGAGGAACTCCTATGTAGAAAGAAAGGGGCATCCGTTATAGAGGCTTTATTGAAAGTCTTTTATTTATTTGGGAGACATTTTGTTGCCAGTTTGGGCTGTCAGGTGGAACAAGGCCTGTTTACATTGAAAAAGCAGCGTAAAACAGACAAAGTGTAAACTGTAACAAGGTCCAAGACATTTAACTATGCTTAAATAGATATAACATCCCACACAGATGCAATAATTTTAACTTCTACAACCGCAGTTGGTGTTGTGCCTTCTTCCACCATTCTTTTAAATGGTGTTCCTCATCCATGCCAGGAATTAATCAAGCTAAATACAGACAGTCTTATGAGTCACTGAAAGGAACAGAAAGAAAAAAGGCTCTAAATCAATCATGCTCTTAAGGCAGAGATCTTAGCTTGACTTGTGCAACTTATTATGTGGAAATCCCCCTAAAAAACAAAGATTAAGAAAAGTTGCCAGGGCTGAATAGGGTTAGCAAGTGAAAGAAAAGTTGCCTTTTTGTATTAATGTTTTATTCTTATTGCAACACTGTTAATGGTAACTTGCCCTTGCAAATCTGCTTTATTGCACCATTCACAAATTTTTAACCTTTTAGCAAAAAGAATAGAAAAAGAAGTAAGAAATATTAGCAGAGCAGTTATAACAGTTTTATAGTTTTGCAAGCTATTTCTTTTTTTTTCCCTGTATCATAAGGTCTTTACATTTTCTGTTTTCTTAATTATAAAAACATTTAAGGGGATCTCAAACCATGTAAAAATAAAAGGTATTTGTACTCAAACACCAGAATTCTGATGTCATCATTCTGCAGAAAACATTGGTTATCTTCTCCCTCTTTAAAAACTGCTTTTTACATTTGAAAAGTTGATCAAAATACTCTTTCAGTCACTTTCACATCCCCCCACAAAGCATATAAATTCAGTGATATGCCTTGCCTCTTTAATGATAGCTCCTAATGAGGAGGATGAAGGTGTTAATGAAGGGAGAGGAAATCCCTCATGTTCTTCCTTTGGGTAACTCCCAAAGAATTTTGTTGGGGGTAAGGTTTGATCCCTGAAAATAAGGTTTCACCCACAAACTGGGTAGATCCTCAGGAATCAGTAGGATGCCAAGACTATCTCCACTGGTATGCCCTCACTGCCAAGTTCTCAGGGTACCTACACTTGAATTATTCTTCTTGTGAAATAACACTCAGGTTGTTCTATCTACACTGGGGCTACAGATGGTGTGCATGACTTTCTTTGACTTTAGAGAACAGGTAGATACATCCCATGTTTCTAAATGCTAAGCTGCTCTATGAATTATTTCCTAGAAAATTATGGAAGTAATTGCTTGGTCATGCAATACTCTGTGACGGTATCAGAGAGCTAGTGGCTTTTGATCAGTGTGTGTCCATGCTACTGCATCATTGTGATAATAATGGATGAGTCAAACTCAGTCAAGTTTTAACTTATGTCCTCTTTAGATCAGCCAACTCATGAAAAAAGCACTACAGTACTCAAGATTAAAGTGTCCAAATGGAGACAGGACTGAATTAGGTGCACCACTCCAGTTAGAACTAAATCAAGCATTGTAGTGAAGACAAGACTCATAAGAAGGCAGCTGACAGATCTGTGCCTGCTCCCTGCTTCTGAGAACCCCTACCTCCTCTAGTAACACATTACTGGTGCCATCAGACTAGGGTTGCTTGTGCCACATTTGCCGAATAAAACTGCTTAAGTGCGGGAGAGGTTTGAACTGTAGAGGAGCATACAAGCAATATTATCTTTTCTACCTATCTCCACAAAGGAACAATGGGCACCTCTCCCATCCAAAATATGCTCTCCAGTAGTGTAACTAGCAGTGGGAAAGAGGGGGACCTGTCCTGGGCACTAACTTCAGAGGGGCACCAGAATCGTCCCCACCCTGCGTAGAGTCTATACCCTGGCAGCACTATGGCATTGCTCTTGCAGCAGCAGCTGGGTGCCTGGACACTTCACCACTGCTATAAAAGGAACAGCTGGAGTGGGCAGACCATGCTGCAGAGCAACAGGTTTTTGAACTGCCATAGTTAAGACTCCTGCTCTCTTTGCCTCTGCCTGCACCAAGCTCTTGGAATCCATACTGTTCTGGCACTTCAACAAAGGGCACCAACTCTCCAGTGTCCTCTGTCCTAGTCCTCACACCCTATCACAGTGCACATCATGAGGATGTACTAGAATCCTAGGAAAGGGATCTACAGGATGACAAATGGGTCATGTACTCCCATCATGTACTCCCACTCACTTATTCTGCAGAAGGCCTGAGATCCACGTGGAGATATGATGGGCATGATCTGGCCTAAAATCTTTCTATTTTTCCTCTCTCTGAGCTGAACTGACACTCTATCCCAGTGAAAATAAAACTTGAAATAATAAAAAAAAAAAATACTAAAGTGAACGCTTCTACAGCACAATGTTCAGATATTCCAAACAACTGCTTTTATGAGGCCTTCGCTTATTGGACAAGAGCAATACTCAGTGAGCTCAGGAAAAGAATGTGGAAGAGAAAAAACTTGGACCAAACTCATCTGCTCAGTCACTTCTATTCTATCACTTCCTTCCTAATCATCCATATTTTTGTCTTTTGGAATAGTACCACATTTACTCATATTTAAGAAAACCCTGAATAAAAGAGGACCCTCAATAATTACATTCTATATATGGAAAAATTATAAATGTTATACTTTTTCATGTATCAAATATAGTTATTGGAGGGTCACCTTTAATTCAACCCCCCCCCCACAGATGCAGGGGGGCAGTGGGGGAGGAGGGCAAGTAGGGAGGTCAAGCAGCTTGCTCTCTGGTTATGCCTGCCTCCTGCCTGCACTGCTCTCCCCAGCACTGGTCCCTCCACAGCCTCTCTACTCCCCCTCTCCCTCCTTTTCCTAGCCTCTCTGCTCCCCTTCCCTGAAGTCTCTGCTCCTCACTTCTCTCCCCTCTTACCCTTGCTCTACACTGGCAGGCTCTGTCCATGCTGCTGCCTGAGGCACTGAACACAGCCCCAGCCCATCCCCTATAGCAGCCATGTTAGCCGTGCACCACTGCTGCATGGCTGCGCTGGGGTCATGCTCAGTGCTGCTGGGGTCATGCTCAGGCTGCAGCATGGACAGAGCCCGCCTGTGCAGAGCAAGGGTACAGCGTGGAAGGAGGACAGGGACAGGCAGAGGAGCAGACGCTGCATGGGGGGCAAATGGGTAGAAAAAGGTTGAAGAGGAGAGCTGGTGGGGTGTAGGGGCTGGGAAGGCAGCAGCTGTAGCTAAGGCCCAATCCCAGGTAGGGGCTGGAGCTGGAGCTACATCAGCTAGCCCCCCCTTCAAATCTCAATGGCCCTTGCACTTTGTTCTAAGACAAGGAGCTTCCCCACATGTTAAACAGGGGGTGGTTGGAGGCCTTATCTTAGAATTGAGTAAATATGGTAATTATATGAAGAATCCCACAGGCTCCAGTGGGATTCCTCACATGCTGTAAGTGAAGTGTACGTATAAATGTTTGCAAGATCAGGAGCTTACTGGAAAGAATGCCCTTGTCATCACTTGCATCGACAAAGCATGAAGCACACTTTATGCTGTATAAATACACAATAAATACAATCAAGGCTGGTGACAGAAATGCAAAAAATAAAACAAATTAACCAGTATATTTGTACTGTTTTTTTCTGTTAGGAAAAAAATCAATGGACAAAAGCTGTTTTTACTGTCTGAACAGAAGAATGACATACCTCCAGGATAGGACTCTCTTACTCCCTTTCAGAGCCCTATTTTAATTTTTAAAACTTGGTTAGATTTATATCAACATTAATAATGACAGTTAAAGAGTGTAAACAGCATGAAAGTACACCAGAAACTTTTGGAGGTTCTCATTTATTGGTGAACATCCTCAAAAGCCTTCCAGCCTTTTATCCTAGGCCCTATTATCTTTAATGCTGATTTACACAGAGTATTTTTGTTTAAATAAGGATCAATAAAAGCTGATGACAAGGTGAAAGACTAATGGGAGCTATATGAAATTAAGTCCTGGTGAGATCACTAGTGCAACAGAGTGGGTGAGTGGTTCACCAGGCAGATGGACTATCTGTTTGTAAGCAACTCACTCCTTACTAGGAGAATTTTTTTTTGCGGGGGGGGGGGGGGGGGGTGGAAGGTGTTTTTGATTCTCCA